TGCTTTTTCATAGCCAGCCATTGTCTAAACATGTATATCTGTATCCGTTTACAGAAATACCAAGTTATCGTCCCTTTGTGTTCCTAAAGTATCTATAAACACAAATTATATTATAAACTAATATAATCCAAAACCCCACATTAATTTCAACACTATTAATTAAATCTGTACTCAGCACCTGCCTGGGGAAACAGATAATGGCCACTAACATGAAACCCACTTGTGTCCCTTCTTGTCATGTGCTTGGCTCTTCTCCCCAGGGATGAGAGCAGACTGAGCTTCAGGATACTCAGTGGCTCTATTTTGTTTGGAACTCCTTTTCCTATGATTAATTTTAGGTGTCAGCAAGGCTAGGCAGGGGGTGACCTATTATTCAGTCCAAACAGTATGGAGACTGCTTTGAGGTTTTGGTTGTTGTTGTTGTTTTTAGACATAATAACATTCAGTCCAGTAAGTTTTAAGCTAAACACATTTCTCTTTGTTAAGTGGCTAAGCCTCATCCAATCTACTCAAGGGGCGAGGATAGGATTCCAGAACAAGGAAGAAGTTGTGCTCCCAGACTGCCTTTGGATTCAAGGCTGTAACATCAACTCTTTGCTGGGTTTGCTTCCAGCCTGCCAGTAGGCCAGCCTGCCCTGCAGATTTGCAACTTTCTAGCTCCCCTGATCACATGACTACCATCCCCCCTACCCCACCCCCCCACCCCTTTTGGTAAGCGACCAGGCCAGCCCAGTCAGTCAACAGGTTCTCCAGTGCAGGAGTGAGGATTAAAAAGAAAACAGACAATTAGACAACATTGCAGCATGACCCAGCCAGTTCTGAGGCTGAGGCAGGTTTATTTTTTCCCAATCTGCTTTTATACCATTTTAATTACATGCAAGTATTTAGGTTGGTTCTAGGTGGAGGAACTAGCAATACAATAAATGCAAATAGTTAAGGAACAAGCAAGGCAATAAGCAAAGTCTCTGGATCACTCCCGTGATCACTGTTTCTAGGCCTTGTCGGGATGACCAAAATAGGGGAACCTACTTCCCTGTCCTAGCCCACAGTTATATTCAATGCCTGAGGCCTACTTTTTTGTTCTAGCCTAAGATTTAGATTCTTGACTAAAACTACTTCCCTGTTTTAGCCTAAAATTAGATTCCTGCCTGAACTTGCTTCCTTGTCATGACCCAACGTCAGATTCCTGCCCGAAGCCCATTTCCTTGCCCTTGGCCAATGTCAGATTCCTGCCAAGCAGCCCCAAAAGCTCTCCACCGGTAAGCAAGAGCAGAGATGGGATGTTTGGAGGAGTATAAATTGATTTTGATAACTTTTCATATTTACCAAGCCAGATATTATTTAAGCATGCATATATGCTTCTTCTTATCTACAGAACTGTCAATTTATCTTCCCTTTGTGCCATTTCTCCCTCTGGCTACAACCTCAGACTGCTTCTGCTTCAGTTTCTCTAGCCCTGGTAGTACATGCACACGTTCTGCAGGTTTGCCATATTCTGTTCACTGCAGACTCTCATAAGCAGTTTACTTCTTTCTTTTAAATCATAACAAAATCTTAGCTATGTTGTACCCTTTTTTGTGTCTACATTTCAGAACCTGCCCATCAACTATTGGAAAAAAAATCTCTATTGGGATTTTGATTGGGATTGATAGAATTTATAGATAACTTAAAGGAAGTTTTTTTCTTTACACTATTGAACCTTTCTAGGTGCATAGTCTCTTTATCCATGTATCTAGACCTTATCCAATGACCTCTGATATTCTTCAAAAACATCTTGCTTGATTTTTATCCTAAGAAATTTATTTTTGTTGTTTCATTCTAAATGTAAATAGCCCTTAAAATGAAATACATTATATCTTGATTTTGTAAATGCAGGCTTTAGATTACACTTTCAATTGTGTGAAAAGAATCAGAGGACTTGGATTTGATTTATTTTAGATATTTTTGTACTTGTTGGAGATTACCTCATATATGTTCATGCCTGTGGGTAGGAAAATATTATAACTTTCTGTTAGTTAGGATTTTACTGCTGTGAACGGACACCAGGACCAAGGCAACTCTTATACTACATTTAGTTGGGGTTGGCTTACAGGTTCAGAGATTCAGTCCATTATAATCAAGGAAGGGGTATGGCAGTGTCCAGGCAGGCCTGGTGCAGGCAGAGCTGAGAGTTCAACATCTTCATCGGAAAACTGCTAGCAGAATACTGACTTCCAGGCAGCTAGGATGAGGGTCTTAAGCTCATGCCGATAGTGACACACCTACTCCAACTAGGCCACACCTTCTAATAGTGCTACTCCCTGGACCAAGCATATACAAACCATCACACTTTCCAAAATATTTTACTAGAAGAATTAGTATCTCACCTACCCTTGAAACAAGAGAATGAGAAGTCATATGGTTTGTGTGCAAAACGTAAATTACAATACACATATATGGATATGATCAAAGTGCTAATGAATAAAAAGCTACATAAAATATGTAGCTCTAAAATGCTACATATTTTAAAACTTGGAGTTAGGCTTATAGAATGCTATGTAAAAGCCCTTCTTTTTCTTCAACACACTTTGAATCACACTTTAGTGTGGGCTTTTTCTCTTGAGACTAACTGAATTAATATATCTCTGCATAGATATTACCAATTTTTTTGTAGGAATAAAATGGTCTGGGTAAAATATCAACCTGGGAAATCATCACTGCAAGTGCCAGGTTAAACAGAATGTGCTTACACGTGCTATTCAGGAGGGAGCTCTATTCACTGCTGCTTGCTTACCTAGCTGTTTCCTTCTAAGCCCTGCAGTACTCTAAATCTAATGAATTATTGAAGCATTTACAAATGGAAAATTCCTGCAGCCTATCAGAGCTGAAACTCTACCCTGCTGTCTGGCAGATTTCACTCTAAGCTTGCTGCAAGAGTCCTTCTGATTCTGTGCTTTAAATGCAAGGTTCTCTGAGAGTCCTGAATCCTTTGTGTTTATTCTTAGCCATTCCTAACCAACAAGACCTACTTTAAAATCTCCAGGTACTAATCCGACAGGAAAAAAATTCCATTTTTGTTCAACTCTTAAATAGACGGTGGAATCAAAAGTCAGAAGCATTTTATATAAAATGTGTATGTATCATTATTTTTCTACACAATAGAATTTAATCTATCTATAAAAAGTTTCTAGTGCTTTCATTACCATTCAGGGCTCTCTCCCCCCTCCACTCTTCTGCTTATCCTTTATTCCCCCCCCCTTTTAAAAAGATTTGTTTATTTTATGTATATGAGTACGCTGTAGCTGTCTTCGGACACAACAGAAATGGCATCAGATCCCACTACAGATGGTTGTGAGCCACCATGTGGTTGCTAGGGATTGAACTCAGGAGCTCTGGAAGAGAAGCCAGTGCTGAGACATCACTCAGCCCTCGTAGAAAATTTTCCCTTGCAGATGTTGGAGTCTTATTCACCCAGAATCTATTCTCCTTGGATTTCCTGAATTACAGGATCTCCGTTCTCAGATTAGGAACCAAATGCTATTAACTCTTTGACCAATTTAAGTGTTTAAATTAAACAGAGCCAGAGAGGAGAGTTTATTCATTTCTAATTAGTGTCAGTGTTTGCTGCTTCAGGGAGCCTCACAATTTTAGTACTATTTGCTTTTGGAGGTGGGGTGTTGTTCAATAGCTGTTTTGTGGAGGCAAAGATAATGATTTCATACGGATCTTTGTAGGTGGAGTTTTCTTGTAGTTAATTTTCTGATACATTTAAGGTTTTCTCTCTCTTTCTTTTTTTTTAATTCAACAATGTAATTTATGTCTCATTTAATTGATATTTATCATTTTGTATGGGCAAATTTATTTCATTAAAATAGTGAAAAAATTGGCCATCATGTCTTCAACATTTTCTACCCATGTGGCAAATCCTTAAGGCTTTGTTTGTTCTTTAAGGCTTTGTTCCTTTTCTGTGTGTTCGTTTATTGAGACAAGTTTTGATATATAGCCCAGGTTGAACTAGAACTTACTCTGTAGACTCAGCTGGCCTCAACATCATGGTCCTTCTGTTTCACCCTCCCAAATTCTGAGATTATACGCATTCACCACCAAGCCTGGCACTTTGACTCCTTCCACTTATGAAAGTAAATGTCCATCTCTGGTGATTTCTCTTGATCTACCTGCAACCTCACCTGCTCCCCACCCCCACTCCCTCCAAATTTCATTTTGGTTGTCAAAAAAAAAAATCACCCACTGAAAATCTTTATTTCTGAGATCGTAATCTTGAACTACAGAACGCCCATTTGGATTTTTAAAAATTTACATTTTTGGGATTTGAATCTTGAGATTTCCATCCCTTAAAAATATGCTTTACTGTACTTCAGTGTTGATGGTTGTAACGGTCACATCAAAGTCTTGTTTGTTTCAACACAAGATTCTTAATCGACTGTGGTTTTGAATCACAAGTTTTCTTTTGCCTGGTACTTTAAATTTGGAACCCTTTTTGGTCTTGGTTAATATAGTGGCTTTGAAGTCACTCCTTTTATTTACCAGGAATCTCCGCTGGCTCCTTTTTCACTCAGGGTAAATCCAAACCCACTTGCCATGCCCTACTCATCAGTCTGAAGGGTCTCATCCTTGGCTTTTAAGTCACGTGTTTATGTTAGTTCTCAATACCCGTTCAACACTTCATGTTTTTTCTAATCTTGAAAGATGGCTTGTTTTACAACTATGCTTTTATTTTAAACTTCCACAGTAGGGCATTGAATGGGGTCTTTTCCTGCTCCCAGGAACTGAAGATCAGGATCTGAAGGCAAAGACGATTTAAGAATCCTTCATTTCTCAAGCGAGAACACGTGTTTACGAAGGGCTGAAGAATTCTGAATTCAGGTTATTAGTTAACTTTCTCTACCCTTCAAACTGCCCAGACTAGCGGCGGTAGGGAGGAGAGGTGTGAGGGCAGAGCTCATCCGCGCTGGTGCAGGTCCCCTGGTCAGAGGGCGTGGCCCGGCCAACTCTCCGCCCAGTGTGCGCGGCGGGAAGCGGAACTCAGACGTGCTGGTCTCGGCTTCTGGCCGGGTGGGGTTCGCGGTGCACAACGACTTCTACCCGGGCGGCATGGAGGAGCGCAGCGATTCCGAGCCTACCCCAGGCTCTAGCGGGCCTGGCCCCGGTCCGGTTCGCGATGGCGGCGCCGCCCACAAGTGGGCTCCCGAGGACGCCTGGATGGGCACACACCCTAAGGTCAGGAGGCGCGAGGCCAGCAGGGCGCCGACCCGGCCCTCGGCACTGCGCTCCCTCTCTGGCCCACGTCTCAGCGGAGGACACACGCCAGCCTTGCGGCCGGGGGTTTCGGGGGATGGGTAGGGAGAGGGGGAAATCCCGACTGCAAGGCCACTGGTCGCCTGCAGTTTCATTTTTGTTTGTTTATATGAGTTATATAGTACAGACTGACATCATTCCTATCACGCTCCCAAGGCCGCTGATGAGCCCTCCATTAATACCTGTTTTCCTAACTAGATAGTCCTTTCTGAGATGGACTGAGTCCACAGTTAACAGATCAGAAATAGTCTGTGAGCCAGGCAGTGGTGGCACAGGCCTTTAATCTCAGCACTTGGGAGGTAGAGGCAGGAGGATTTCTGAGTTCGAGGCCAGCCTGGTCTACAGAGTGAGTTCCAGGACAGCCACAGCTACACAGAGAAACCCTGTCTCGAAAAACAAAAACAAAACAAGCAAGCAAACAAACAAAAAGTCTGTGGGCTATGGCTGAGATCTAGGAGTCTGAAAATAATGTGTTTAGGCACAGTCGCATTACACTTAGCCTTAGGCCCAAAGTGTGTGCATCTTGATTCTGTATGGGAGCAGAATCCTAACTTTTCAGATTTCTTAGAAAGTTTGAGTAAGTTCTTGCATAGGGCAGAGAACTATTAACATTATATTTTCTGTGTTGGCCTCAAGGAAAATAAGAATAACCTTTTGCTTGTCAAGGAAAGTGAATATTTGTAAATACAAATCTTAAAAAGGTACCTTTTCCCACTTCTTGAAGCACAGTGTTTTACTATTTCCCGTCATCGTCTCCATAAACAATAGGATGGGAGTTACTTGGTTCCATAATGACAGGGAAGGGGTCAGAGAGAGACAGAGAAGACATCAACAGTGACTAGGAACATGGAGGCCATTTCAGACTTCCCAAGTTTGAATCTTATTTCTGTTACAAAGGTGGTAAACTTTGATCTGCTTTGACTTGTTTGACCACACTGTAGTTGTGCTTCAATTTTTTGTCGTGTCTCAGTATATCACAGTTTCATTATTTAAAAATAGGGGATAATGGTAGTACTTAACCTCATAGGGTAATTTTTATAAGGAATCTGACATATAAAAAGTACTATATAAGTGTTTTTTAGTAATTCTTTGAAGGTTTGATGTTGCCTTTAGACAGTTTTACTTGCAGATTCTTTTCCTGTTGAACTTAATGACTGTATAAACCACCACATCTTCCTGTTGATATTTTTTTCTTCCAGAATCAACAAATTAGACCTTATAGCCTAACCCAAAATTATGTCTCGATACCATTGTCAAGCACCTTTTGAGATTTGGGACACACAAAGCCTTTCTTTTGAACCTGTACATTTACCATGTAGCCAGTGGAGACGGTGACTTTAGGTCTGTCCCCTCAAGGTTCTCCAAATATCTGATCTGTGCATCAACTCTGTGTGTATACACCTGCCCCACTGTGTGTGGATGCCCAGGGCCTTCCCTGCAGGAGTAGATGTCTGAGGTTTTCAACTAGCAAGTCTGAAAGAAGTAATTTGCTTCTTTAAAACTCAATTAAATAACTCCCATTCAAAAGCAGGAACTGTTAATAATTAGCAGATATTTTTTTCTGTATGCAAGTTAGATGCCAGAGGAATTGAGGCATCCCGTAACATAGCTCAATGAAAATCTAAATTTTCTCTGCTCCTGGTGGATATGATTATTTATAGACTTGAATATCTGTAGCTTATTCTTGATTTCCATCATTACTCTTCTTCGTACACACAAGTCACACAAGGCTTCCTTTGCATCCAGTCTGTCATGAAACATTTGCTAGTCCATCCTCTGAGAATACTTCCTCTGACCTATTCTGTTATTGTTTTATAACTCACACACTTTTAATTGTCATTTGCCTACCAGTTTTAAGTATAGCTAGTCCTCCATATATAGGATTTACTAATTAGTTTTTAATTGAAAACATTTGAAAAAAATTTCCTCTGCATTATACATGTGCAGACTTTTATTATCATTATTTCTAAACATTATGTAGCACTTAAAGTAACCTGTAGATTGTTTAAAGTGTGTGGAAAGATCACACAGATTATTTGTAAATATTCTTGTGTTTCTATAAGGGACTTAAACATTCTTAGATTTTTGTAATTGATAAGGTAGAGTCTTTGATGCAGAAAGGGAGGCTGCATGGACATATTTAACAATTGTAGATTTTCTTTAGAGGCAGAGATAAGATTGTATGTTCTTTTAACTTCCATTAAATCTGGAAGATAGTTTATATCCATATATATATATGGATATATATGCATATATTTAGTGAATATTTGTTAAATGAAAGAAAATATTGAGCTATTATTTTCTCCTCTATTTAACAATTATGTTTTGATTTTCAGTACTTAGAAATGATGGAGTTAGATATAGGAGATGCCACCCAAGTTTATATAGCATTCTTGGTTTACCTGGATCTCATGGAGAGTAAGTTGCTTGTTTATATTGGTTTGCTATTGGGGTTGGGGAGGTTGGGGGATTGGGTTGTCATATAGAATTATTCACATATAATAAGCAATATTATAATAGTGCAGTTTGCTCATCTGAGTATTAGAAGTTTAGAATGGTTATCTTTGCTTTTGAATGAATGCATTTGCCCATTCTTGATGCTCTTTCAGGTAAGAGTTGGCATGAAGTAAACTGTGTAGGAATACCAGAGCTACAACTCATCTGCCTCCTAGGCACTGAGATCGAAGGGGAAGGGCTGCAGACGGTGGTGCCTACACCCATTTCTGCTTCCCTCAGCCATAACAGGTGAGCAAGGACTTTTGTCTTAGTAAACCCTTAGACCCTTGCCCGTTAGACTCTTTGTGGGTTTTCTTTTTTCTTGTTTTTTTTTCTTCACTTTTATAAATTCCTTTTATGGTTTTGTCAATAATCTTTCATTGGTTGTATGTTCCAGCTTTTAACCCCACCCCTTGCCATTTTATGCGTTAATGAGTGACATCTTAATTTGAATATAATCATGTGCACTCATCCTTTCTTTTATGATCATCATCCTTGTGTCTAGCTTGAGGTGTATTTCTTGCTTGGCATTCTAAATAAAGGTCTCTTTTTAATTTAATTTTTAAAAGGTTAACAAGAGATTCTGTGTTTGAAAAAATGACAGAGGAGGAAAAGAGCCTTCGTTCTCCTGAATAACCCCTGTCATCCTCATTTCCAACAGAGTTCTCTAACATTTACTCACCACTCCTTGGAGTTTGCAGACTCCGCACGTGCAGTGAGGCCATGCTGTCTGTGGTAGTTGTTGGGGATTCCTGCTTCATTCTCAGGCTCTGTGGATCTATTATGTTGTTTATAGCTACTAGGTTTGTTAAGTTGGGGAGACTATCAACATTGCTATCAATTTTCTCTAGATTTTCCAATCTTTTAGAATTTAGGTTTTCAAAACAGTTCCTTAATGAACCTCTGAATTTTATTAGTATCTGTCTTCATATCATCCAGATTTCATCTGTCTTCATCTCCAGATTTACTAGTCCAGGCATTCTCCATCTTTGGCTGATTTGAGTAAGTGTTTGTTTTATCTTTTTAAAGACTGAGCTCTTAGTGTCATTGGCTCTTCATCTATTGTATGTTTTATTTCCAGTTCATTGATTTCTGCTTCATCATTATTATTTTTCCATCTATTAATTTTGAGTTTGGCTTTCCTTGTGTTTCTGAAACCTAAGGTACATCATTAAGTTATTCTTAATGCTCTCTTCTTACTAATTGCTATAATTGCTATAATTCTTCTAGGTCAGGCAGGCTTTGAGTACTCACACTTTCAGATGTCTCACTAATGAGCACATTATAGGCAGCTCTTGTGCTCAGGTGCGAGCGTCCTAAGGCAGTGCCTAGAGGTGGAACGATTGGGATATATGGCGTTGACACCTGTCTCTTTTGACTGTTACTGCTAAGGTGTCCTTGGAGGAGGATTGCTGTCAGTTTACACTGTGACTGACAGTGTAGGAGAAGAGATATGCCATGTATAACTGGCAAAGGCCTATTCAGATTAAATGGTTACTGTGACTCTTACTAGCCTGGCACTCCCCGAGAAGGCTTGGCTGCAGGGCCAGTGAGCTCTAAAGACCTACTGACTGCCCTCCCAGCACTGAGATTGTAGGCACAGGCCCTCATACTCGCTCCTAATGTGGTTGTTGTTTTAGTGGGGATTTGGGGGATCAGGCTTAGGCCTTCATGCTTGTGTAACAAGCACTGTAGTGCCTAAGCTTTTCTCCAGCCCTTTGTTCTTCTTTCTTTATTGAATTTTAAAAGATCTTTTATTGTAAAATAAAACCCATACCCAAGACCCCATAGTTCCAAATACCCAACTCCCATAACTGTGGCCAAGGCCTTCTCAGAGCCCTTCCCAGTGTGTGGAATGGCTCATTCCTTCTCTCAGAGGTAACTACTATTCTTACTTTATGACAGTTGACCTATCCCAGTGTGTGGAGTGGTTTGTTCCTTCTCTCAGAGGTTACCATTGTTCTTACTTTATGACAATTGATCTATCAGCACAGCTCAGAAACTATGTTGGGATGTGAGTGGATGCCACTGATGTATTAACAAGAACACTGACTTAATTTTAAGAATATCCTGCCTGGCCCATATTGTTAGAAACAAATGACGTGTCACACATCACAGAGCAAACTGTTTCCAGGAGCCATTTGAAGCTGCACTGGCTAGTTTCTTATGACTCTTATTCTTAATGCTTTTTATTTCTAACAACACCATAAATAACGTTTTTATTAATAGGGAAATGGGAAGCATAATAAACCGAGAGCCAAAGACATAAACAGGCTGCTGGAGTTCAGGGTCATATGTGTACCATAATAACTCCTTATGTACAGTCAGAGTTTTGGAGTCTATAAAACTGGGCAGCTGGCACGTATTACCTGTAACTTGTGTTAACTACAGTGCAGTTTCAGAATGTGCCTTTAGTGTAGACAAACAATCCTACTGTATCGGTTCAAACCATTAGCTATCTTGCTGTTTGATTATTGAGTGGCAAACAGACAGAGTACATTGTATCTGTCTTCAGACATACCAGAAGAGGGTATTAGATCCCACTACAGATGGCTGTGAGCCACTATGGGGTTGCTGGGAATTGAACTCAGGACCTCTGGAAGAGCAGTCAGTACTCTTAACCACTGAGCCATCTCTCCAGCCCTCATGGCTCATTTTTTATGCTATAGAGTGTATATTTTTTTGATTCCTTAAAACTTAATAGTTCTGAGCAGTTCTTAGTATCAGGTCTTAATGTCACTGTATATCTGGTATATTTCTCAGAATTTCTGGACTTTTTTGTGTGCATTTCCTATTAGCTTTCCCAGGCTGTGGTCCTGGTGGCTTTGTTTTCATAGTTTCTAGCACTAGACAGGCAGATTTCATTCTATTACTAATATAGACCCACAGCCATTCAAGTATAGTTAATGTAGTGTGTCACAGTTTTCAGTCTCAGAAGGTCGTGTGTGTGTGCGTGTGTGTGCGTGTGTGTGTGTGCGCGTGTGTGCGTGTGTATGTGTGTGTATGTGTGTGTATGTGTGTGTATGCCTGTGTGTGTGTGTGTGTGTGTGTTGCGTGAAATATATAAAAAAACAAGGCACCCACACTATCACTGGCTAATTTCTGGTATTGTAGTTTCCCTGCTGCTAGGGTCTCCATGGAGCAGATCTTGTTCACATTCCCAGCCATCTGCCCCTGTGATTAGCTGTCATAAATCCCTGTAACCCAGTAAAATCAAAATGCTAGAGGCTTGTAATTTATTAGTCAGATTTATATCAGTAAATTCTCAACCCACAAAACACCTGCACAATGAACTCAAAACAGAATTGATATAAACACAAACTACACCCCTAGATGAGGCAAATGTACCCTACTTATTATTTAATCATCTATCTAAGAATCCCTAATACTTACAGCTCCTAGGACGGTGTGGTTCTGGCTCCTCTTCCTCTCCTGTAGGTTCCATCTTGTCTCCTCCTCTCTGTCTCCCACTCTTCCCTCTGTCTCTAATTCTCAGCCTGCCTTCTTTCTCCACTGCCCACTCATAGGCTCTAGCCTTATCCTACACCTGCCTTCACCTGCTTACAGACAGCAATCTGTGTGTTTGTGTGGGTTCGTGTGCGTGTGTATCCTTCTGAAAATACTAGTTTAATTACTTTTCCTTTGGGAGAACAAAATTTGCAAAATGTCTGTTTCTAATTAGTGGAGATACTATGCTGTTGGATATGAGTTGTCTATTTGCTGTTGTTTCTTTTTTTATTTACAATATTTTCTAGATAATTTTTAGTCTGCATTATGAAATAATAAATGAGCATGGTATGTCCTCAGCTTGTGTTCTGCTTAAGTGAATCTCAGGGATCTAAGGAGTCCGTGTAACACTTCAGAAAATGCCTGTGGATGTGAGTGCTTTTCTCCAGATAAAGCGGTGTATGAAGTCACAGTCACAGATTTCCACAGAGGTCATAGAGCTGATGGAATTAAAGATGAAGACTGGGGGATGTAGCTCAGTGGGTAAAAGTGCTTGCTATGCAAGCCTAAGGACCTGAGTTCAAATCCCCAGCACGTATGTCAAAAGCCAGCTGTGTGCCTGTAACCCTAATGTTGGGGGCAGAGACAGGCAGATCTTGAGAGCTTACTGGCCAGCCAGCCTAGCAAAACAATGAGGTTCTGCGAGGGAGTCTATTTTAAAGGAATAAGGCAGAGAGGACAATTGAAGAAGACATTCAGCATCCTCTTCTGGTCCCTTTGTGTGTGCAACTCTGCAACCCTCCCCACCCCTACACACACTTAGAACAGTGTGAGACAACAAGGAAGCCTGCATCAGTTTGAGGCGTGTCCCATCTTTTTCAATGTGGATTTTGAAAATGAAGTAAAATTTATGTTTAGGTAGCTTCCCTTTGGGTGAAAGTTAAAACTAAGTGTTTTACCATGATCACATATACTGACAGCTGAAAGAATACATATTCCTTCAAAGAAAAGCTACTCTGCCATTGAGAGTCACACCTGAGTCAGGATTACTGTGTTTCAGGCGTTTAGAATAGCGTTAAGTACAGGTGATGTAAAGGGGAAATATTTTAAGTACCTTACAGCAAGGCTCAGAATGAAATAAGAGGGAAAAGGGGTTTTCTGTTTCTTGACCACCAGTGTTTTGTTTCTTCTTGAGAGACCTTACATCCTGTCTCAATTTCAGTGTCAGTGCAGTGGTTCTCAACCTGCGGGTCACAACCCCTTGGCGGTCAAATGACTCTTTCACAGAAGCCACATATCAGTGTCCTGCATATCAGATATTTATGTTACGACTCACAACAGTAGCAGAATTCAGTTGTGAAGTCTCAATGACAATGATTTCATGGTTGGGGGGTCACACAACATGAGGAACTGTATCAAAGGGTCACAGCATTAGAAAGGTTGAGCACTGGTTTAGTGCTTTCAGTGATATATTAGAGGGGCTGGAGCTAGAACCATAGCTGGGTATCCAAGCCTTTCTGTAGTTCTATATGGTAAAATGAGCTGAGTAGGATTGAATTCTTACACGATTATGAAATCCACAGAGTTCATGTGAAATCTCCATTGTTTTAAAGATGGTAAGGTTGTTTGTCCTTAGTACTAGCTGTGCATTGCTGATCTGTCACACCTGGCTAAACTGTAAAGCTTTCTCAGTGTTAGAGGGCAGTGCAAGTGGGACGGAGCCTCCCAGCCGCACACTAGAGCATTCTCTAAGTCACTCAAATGTCCTCTTTCATGGCATGACTTCTGGTGCAAGTGTCACT